GAGCCGATTTATTTTTGTTTTGCAAGTGAGCAGAATATTTACTTGGTTCCAGAAGTCAGATCTGTCCCCTGGCACCTCCCACCTTCAGCTGACTTGCCATGGCGCAACTCCCTGGCCATGGCTGGGCCCTGTGCAGCCCGGCTGCAGGTTTCCTTAACCTGGCCCTGAGTCCACAGAACATTAGGGTGCTGTGTCCCTGTGAGCTCTTCCAATCCTTGCCTCTGGTGCCCTGGGGAATTTTGGTTTTGTCTGACATCTTGTCATGATTAGACTTTCTGTTAATGGGTTTGGGGTGAGAGATCCACAGTGTGATGTGGCCGTCTCCAGCGTGGGACCAGTCCTAACAGCCGGTGGCTCTCACTTTGACTTGGCCAAGACTGTGTCTGCCCATTTCTCCCAGCTAAAGCCGTGTTTTTTCCCTTTGTAATCAGTTCACATCTCTGTGGAAGCAGTTTGAGGCTGTGGAAACCCACTGCCACTTTGCTGTGTGCTCTGAGCGCATCTCCTACACTCTATCCGTCCGGAGACCCTGGGCCCTTCACGGCTGCTTCTCGTCCAGGGGTCTAGGCGTTGGGTATGGAGGCCCTGGGGAGATTTGCTCTTAGGCTGACTGCTCTTAACTACAGGGGCCTTTCTACAGTACAAATGGTCGCTGAGTTACCATGGCCCAACTCACAATTCTTTGACTTTAGCGAACTGGCTGGCACTCTGCAGAGACCTTGCTGTGTGCCTGCCAGCTTCTCACTCTTGTAGTTTCCACTGAGTGAGGTGAGATGTGTGGCTCCACACCATGGTTGGGGCTGGTGACTTTGCCAACTATGTCCTGCTGCAGATGTCTGAGCCCTGGTGAGGCCTGGACCTCAGTGGATCTCACTTTCTCACCAGGACTGGGTCAGGGTTAGGGTCACCCAGGGGTGTGATCTGTCTCACTGCGGCCTTGGACTCCCGGCTTGAGTGATCCTCCGGCCTGGGCCTGCTGCATCGCCAGACTGTGGGAGAGAGGCACCAGTCCCAGCCTTAAGTGCATTTTTGACTGAAGATGTTTTCAGCTCCAGACGGGTTTACCTGTTCACAGCCCTGGCACCCTATACCTCCCCCAAGCTGGCAACTCCTGCCAGTACTTTATGCAGTTCAGCACCCCCCAAGGCCCCTTCACCAGGTCGGGATCCTCGATCTCAGGCCCCATCTCCTTTCCTCCTCCTCCTTCCCCTCTCTCTGTCTTCCCCAAGTCTTTGCCAGTCCATGCAGCAGGCAGGAAGTTGGGAGGCTGTTCAGATGTGCTTTCTGCCAAGGCTCTTCTGGGGCCTGTTTCTGGTACCTGAGGTCCATCCTTGGGCCTGTTGAACTCCCCAGAGAAGCTTCTGGTCTCATCACTGGCCCTGGCACTCCTTGTAGAGTCTCCAGCTGCGTCTCCCTCCCACCCTCCAGCCCCAGGAGTCCCCTGAGAACAGATTTGCCTTTCCAAGCCAGGGTCCTGCTATTCCATCCTCTGCCCACTTTGCCACCTGTCCTACCCGCCCCCCTCCCAGACAGGCAAGCCTGTGCCCTGCAGACAGAAACAAGCGAACAGAGGAAACTTGGTTTGATTTACTGCGTCTAGCTGGGGAGGGGTGAGACGGGGCTGGTGTCCTTGTCCCACTTGCTGTCTGGACTGGCATGTCTACGTTCTCACACACACCTTGGACATGAGACAGGCCCAGGCAGGCACAGAAGCCTCCCAGTGAGGCTGGTGGTCACCTGGGTGGAAGCTGTGTGTCCTGCTGGGCATGGCAACTATCAGTCCCCTGCACCCAGCCCTTCTCTCAACGTCCTATTGGGTTATGACCTGGCTGGGCAGGCTATTGAGGGAGATGTGGACAGCCATGAAGAGACTGTGCCAGGGGCCAGCCCTGGGTGTCAGCAGCCTCAGCATGGGTCTGTTCATGCAGCCCTGTGTGCCTGGGGCCCCAGGACCCTTGCACCTGCTGCATCCTGCGCTGAGTGGCTCAGCTCCTGCCCTGCCTCCCTGCTGCAGTGAGAAGAAGGCTGCCGCACACTATGGGAAAGAGCCAGAGGTCCCGGGTCATCCCCATCCCCCCAACAGCAGACAGGGGAATAGACCCATCCCCGTGGGCATTGCAGGTACTGCACAGCAGCCTCACTGTAGATCCCTGAGACCCTCTACATAGCACCTGTGGAGGCATAGGTACTAGTAGTGATAGTCAGGGTCACACTCATGTCCCCGTGTCCTAGAGGC